AGGAAGAGGAGGAGGAGGAGGAGGAGGAGGAGGAGGAGGAAGAGAGGGTGGAGGAGGAGGAAGACGGGAATGATGATGATGATGATGATGATGATGATGATGATGATGATGATGATGATGATGCTGATGATGATGCTGATGATGATGCTGATGCTGATGCTGATGCTGATGCTGATGATGATGATGGTGGTGATGATGATGATGAGGATGATGATGATGATGCTGATGCTGATGCTGATTATGATGATGGCGATGATGATTGATGATGATGATGATGATGATGATGATGATGATGATGATGATGATCATGATGATGATGATGGTAATGAACATGATGATGATGATGAGGATGATGATGCTGATGATTATGATGATGCTGATTATGATGATGAGCACCAGTGTAAACCCAAGACGCATCAACGACGTGGCATTATATCCTCCTTCTGATTCTCCCCTTCGTCCCTGCAGGTATTTTTCCCACAGCGGGGAGTGCCCCGTTGGAAGGCAACCGTTTGATGATCCTCGATAGTGCCAAGGCACCATTCCCGGGACTTCAACACCGCGAATCACAGCTACTGTTGCGTCTTGACGATGCAGTACCGCGCCAGAACGCCATTCGCGGGATGTCAACGCCGCGAATCAACGGGATTGTTGCGCATTGACGTTTTAGCTATAAGAGTCTTTGACATTATTGTAAACTCATCGAAGACGCCTACGGCGAATCACCGCCGCCCCCTGCCCTTTTGGAAACGCCTGTGTGGCCCACAGCTGTCCTATAGCTTGGCCAAGCTATCGGGCCAGTTGTTTCCCGAGTCGGTTTGGAAAGCCTTCGGGGAACGCGTGGGGGGAGCAAGGGGAGGAGGATCAGGAGAGGGATGATGATGAAGAAGATGAGGATGAGGATGAGGATGAGGATGAGGATGAGGATGAGACCGTCAACTGTTATCGCCTTCCTGGAAACGCTTATGTGGCCGAAAGTAGGGTGTGAGCTTGGCCAAGCCATCGGAGGAAACGCATCTGTGACCGAACGTGGTAGCTACAGCTTGGCCTGGATATTGGACCACGTGTTACCCGAGTTGGTCAGGAGGGCATTCGGGGAACGCGCGTGGGAGAAGGATGAGGATGAGGATTAGGATGAGGAGGATGAGGAGGAGGAGGAGGAGGAGGAGGAGGAGGAGGAGGAGGAGGAGGAGCAGGAGCAGGAGGAGGAGGAGGAGGAGGAGGGCTCTTGGGGGCCTCTTGGGGCACTCTTGGGGCTTCCTGGGAGCTTCCTAGGGGCCTCTTGGAGGCCTATCGGGGGCCTCCTTGGGCCTATTGGGGGCGATTGGAGACTTCTTGGGAGCCTTTGGCCGTCCGAGGGCGTTCCTGACCCGTCTGACGTCTTGGGGCGCTTCGGGGCCGTCTTGGAGACCACCTTAGGCGTCTTGGCGGCCTCTTGGGCCGTCTTGGAGCCTTCTTGGGGCCGTCTTGGGAGCCTCTGGGGCCGTCATGGGGCCATCTTGGAGGCCTCTTGGGCGATCTCGGGGCGGCCTTGGGGGCCTCTTGGGCCGCCTTGGGCAGTCGGAAGGCCGAAGAGACGCAGATGCAAACATCCTTCAACCACTTGTAGGAAATCAATGATTTGGAGGCCTCTTGGGCCGGCTTCGACGCTTCTCAGGGGCATTTTGGGCCGTCTTGGGCCGTCCTGTAGGCTTCTCGGGCGGACTTCGAAGCATCTTGGGCCTTGTTGGGGCGTCTTGGAGGCCATCTTGGGCTCTTTTGGGCCGTCTTGGAGGGCCTCTTGGGCCATATTCGGGCCCTCTCGGGGCCCTCTCGGAGCCGTCTTCGGGGTCTCTTGGACCGTCCTGAGGCCATCTTGGAGGCCTCTTGGGCGCTCTGGGGGTGATCTTGGGGGCCTCTTGGGCCCGAAAGGAGCAAATACGAAAATCCTTCAAACACCTGAGGAAAAGCACGGATTTAGCCTCTTCGAGCCCTTCTGGAGGACCTCTCGGATGCCTCTGGAGCCGTCTTGGAGGCCTCTTGGGCACGTCTTGGGCACCTCTTGGGCCGTCTTGTATGCTTCTTGGGCGAACTTTGAGGCATCTTGGACCCTGGCGGGCCGTCTTGGAGGTCATCTTGAACCATCTTGGGCGAACTTAGAGGCCATCTCGGGCCATCTAAACCGTCTTGGAGGCCATCTTGCGCCATCTTGGGGCGGGACAGGCATTGACAGGTCTATTTTTGGCGGCTTTGTGGGTGGCCGTCGGGACGGGCCGAAGCCCCAGGGCTCTTTGGGCATTTCGGAGGCCTCTTGAGCCGTCTTGGGGCCGTTTTTGGCGTCTTGGAACGATCGTTCGGCGACTCGGGGCCCTCTTGGAACGTCTTGGGAGCTTCTTGGGGCCCTCTTGCCCGTCTTGGGGCCCTCTTGGGGCCGAGAGTCACGCGGGGAACCGCGAGAAGCCCCGGGAGATTTGGGCCGAGGGGCTCCGAACCCCGTAAGAATTCATGAGTGACGACTGAGGCTTAGAGGGGATTGGGCAAAGGACCTGAGGACACGCCCACTCCGTGCCCAGCGGCACGGTGGCGGATATAACGAATGCGCGTGGCGCTGAGGCGAGAGCAGCTTTTTGAAAAGAAGCCGCCCTCCATATGTGAAGATCTGGTACGCTTTTAAGATGAACGTGTGCGGCGCTGATGCTAGAGCCACATTTTAAAAGGGAGCCGCCCTCATCCGAGAAGCTCTTGCACATGTTTCAGACGAGTTTGCTCGGCCCGATGGCCAGAGCCACATTTTGTGAACGACCCGCCCTGCACCCGTGAAACCGTTGCAAGGTCTAGGGCCGGGAGTGGTGAGGAAGTCTCAGGCGGCACACCCCGGCCCGCCTTGCCGACACGTCTCGGGGAGAGGAGACGGGATGCGAGCCGAGGACAGCCAGATCAAGCCCGAGGCGCATCAGCGATGCTGCCATACGCCCTCCCGCTCCAAGCCCCCCTTGATGGGCCTGTTTTCCACCACCACCATAAGTTGGAGGAGGGAAGGAGGTGGAGGACGAGGACGAGGACGAGGAGGAGGTGGAGGAGGAGGAGGAGGAGGAGGAGGAGGAGGAGGAGGAACCTCCTCCCCCTCCAACTTCTGGTGGTGGTGGTGGAAGACAGGCCCATCACCCCTCTTCACACGTCCCGGCAGGCCCGCCTGGCATTGATCGCGAGGCGCGCTCCGCGGAAGGCCAGCACCCCGCGGGCCTGCTGGTCGGGCGGAAGCTTCGTTCTGAACACGACGTGCCCGGCATCATTCTAGCGCGTGTCCAGGAGCACGAGACGGTGTGACCACACGGCTCATCGAGGTCCATCGGGATCCGCACGTTGACGAGTCGAGGGGGTCTCAAGCGATGTGGATGAGGTTGTTGTTGTTGTTGGTGGTGGTGGTGGTGGTGATGATGATGATGATGATGATGATGAGGAGGAGGAGGAGGAGGAGGAGGAGGAGGAGCAGGAGCAGGAGCAGGAGGAGGAGGAGGAGGAGGAGGAGGAGGAGGAGGAGGAGGAGGAGGAGGAGGGGGAGGAGAAGGAAGGCCTCCTCCTGCTCTGTTCCCCCTCCTCTTGCTCCTTTTCCTCTTCCTCCTCTTTCTCCTCCTCATTCCTCCCTCCCCCCTCTCATTTTCGTCCTCCCCGTTCTTTCTCCTCCTCCCTCCTCCCCTCTTCCGGGGAGCATCCGGAGGCCCACGGAGGTCCCAGCAGGTCCCTGGAGGCCTCCAGATGCATTCCAAGGCCCCCAGAACACCTAATCGAGGGTCCAGGATCGAGGGTCCAGGATCGAGGATCGAGGGTCCAGGATCGAGGATCGAGGGTCCTGGATGCCTAATCGAGGATCGAGGGTCCAGGATCGATCTTCCCCTGCATCTCGAGCGCGCACAGGATCCCGTCGGCACTAGCAGCGGCCGCTTCGTGCCTCCTGCCCTGCGAGCCATGCAAGCATAGGCCCTTGTGCCTCTTCGCATCAGTCCTCCTCCTCCTCCTCCTCCTCCTTCCTCCTCCTCCTTCTTCCTGTTTCTTCATTCCTCCTCCTCGGTCTCTTCTTCGCCCTCCTGCTCCTAGGTCCCGGGAGGAGGAATGCAGGGGAAGACAGGGAGGGGGCGGGGGCAAGCTAGGTGCGCTCGCGCCATGTCTGACACCCTACCCCAGCTTCCGCCCATCCCTCCCCATTGTGTCGAGTCATATTTCATTCAAACCTCATTCGCTGGAACTGGCAAATCGTTTGCTGTACGATCGGCGATGGAGCCCGTGTGTACTGTGCCATTCTGGGCGACAAAAGAAGTACACGGATCTTGAACTTTGACCAGCGCTAGCAGCGTGAATAGCACAATTCTGAAGGTCCGAATTCTTCCCGACTGTGAGCGCACAGCAAACACACAGGTTTTAATTCAAACGCAAGGACGGCAGGGTTTACCCCTGCACGTTGCCAGGGGAGAGGGCAGAGTATTTGTCATAACGAGTGACGTGGCTGCGGAGGGGAAACGACGAGGAGGTCAGGGGAGAGGATGGAGAGGGGGGAGATTGTAGCAAGCGCAGGGGGGGAGCCTGGGGAACGAGAGGGGGCAAGGAACCGCCGAGGCAATCTGTCTGGAACAAGCTCCAAACATAGACAGGATCATTCTGATATCCACCACCCACCAAACCACCCCAACCCAATCCGAAGGCTCAGATTTACCCTCGATTTCTAGTGTGGGGGGGGGTCCGGGAACATCGAAAAAACACATATGGAGCCCATACCCCCCCAACCCGAAATTCGGGCCTTCGGGTTGGGTTGGGGTGGTCTGGTAGGTAGTCAGATATAGAGGAGCCGGCGCGATGCGTCTGCACGAGTCCTCCTGGCCCCCCCTCCCCCTCCCCCTTCCCCTTCCTCCCCCTGCCGCCGCCTCCCCTTCTACCCCCTCTCCTCTCTCCTCTCCCCTCCCCCCCGCTCCCTCCCACGCCTGCCTCCTTCTCCCTCCCCCCCCCCTGCTCCCTTCTTTCCTCCCGCCCCCTCCCCCTCCTCTGCCCCCTCACTCGCCCGGCTTCCTCTCTCCGCTGCCGCTGCAGCTCTAAGACTCCAGGCCTGCCGCCGGGCTCTGCCGGCGTCCCCCGCCCCCAGCCTCTCTCCTGCCTCCTGCCGCCGTGCCCGCCATGAAGGGCGGCGAGACCCTCGGAGCCCGCGCCGTCTTCCTCTTCACGGCGATGTGCATCGTCGGGTGGAGCTGCGCGATGTGCACCTCGAGCTGGGTGTCCAAGAAGAACCCGTACTACCGCCTCGAGGGCGGGCTCTTCGAGCTGCAGCTGAAGACGGGCTACCTTGGCTCGCTGGCCGCCGCCCTCATCGACCCCGTCACCGCGAACGCGATGTCGTGGGTGAACTCGCTCGTGGAGAAGAAGTACAGGCTGGACGAGAAACAAACAACGGCGTAGGCATTTCTCGGAGGTCCGCGTGGACTTCTTGGATCGGCGCCGGAGGCGCTGCCGGGGGGATCCAAGACATCCGCGCGGACCTCCGAGAAATTGTGCCCATGCCGTATTTTTCAGGCGATCGCAAACATGGATCAAGGGGGCGTGGATTAGCGACGGGTCCCGTTTCAATGGGAAATCGCGGACTTCCGCCGCCGAGTGAGGCGGCGCCGGCCGCATTTCGGGGAGGGCACCTCCCCCGATCCATGGATTTGGCGACCGCGCGCCAAGTCCATGGATCGCCAATCCATGTCTGCGCGCCCCGGATTTTTTTGCTCCTCCAGGCTGGACGAGTTCCGCGAGCACATGTGTGCCCTGCCGAAGGTCGGCGGCGCGCTCTGGTGTGTGTGTGTGGGGGGGGGCAGGCGGAGGGGGCGGGCCTTCTTGGGAGGCTCGGAAGGCCAGGGGGGCCTTCCAGGAAGCTCTTTCGTGGCCTTCTCCGGAGCCGCGCGCGGCTTTCGCAGAAGGCTGGAGGGCTTCGGGCACCCTGGGCTCTACTCGGCGAGGCGCAGCCATTGGGACGCATCCCGAGGCCGGAAGTCCGCCGAGGACCGACGAGAGCCGCCGACAAAACCTCGAACCCCGAGCCCGGAACTTCCAAGCTTCTCCCCTCGGCGCGCCGCCGAAAAGGTGCCCAAGATCACCGACAACGCGTGCATGGTCTCGCAGTTCCTGCAGTTCGCGTCCTGGGGCCTCGTCCTGGCCGTCGTGCTGAGCTTCGTGGCCATCTGATGGCGTTTGCGATGCACCTGCACCGTTCCCGGCCATGCCAGTCCGGGGCCCAGGATTCCGGTGGAGGCGTTCGTTGAGGAAGGCGCCCAGGAAGATCAGACCCCGGAGGAGTCCTGATCTGCCGAGGGCGGCGGTGACATCCGTAGCCAGCCCACGACTGGGGCCCCACGGGCTTCCCGACCCTGGATTCCTGATCCAATGGTTCCTTATGCCCTCACCGTGGTGTCTGCGGCCACGCACTTTGGCTCAGCGTGTCGTGCCGCCGGTTCGGGCCCACCACGCCTCGGGCGCGACGCGCTATTCTATCCAGGTGTCCCTTCCCAGGCGTCACCGTCCCGAGCTGTTCCCCGCCTCCCGCCCAGCGGAGCGGAGCTGCACGCCGTCCGCTCGCAGGGCACAGCGTGTCGCCGGGGCCGCCGCCGTGACGCGCTGTGCAGGGAGTCCTGACCGTCTGCCTGCCCCACCACGCCAGCAGGGCGTGCACGCCGATCCTTGGCCCAGGATCGGGCGGGCCAGGATCGGTGCAGATGTATGGCTGAGGAGGAGGAGGAGGAGGAGGAGGAGGAGGAGGAGGAGGAGGAGGAGGAGGGGGAGGGGGAGGAGGAGGAAGAGGAGGAGACGGAGGAGGAGACGGAGGAGGAGGAGGAGGAGGAGGAGGAGGAGGAGGAGGAGGAGGAGGAGGAGGAGGAGGAGGAGGAGGAGGAGGAGGAGGAGGAGGAGGAGGAGGCGCCCTCCCAGGCCATGCTCGCTGGCGCGGCCCTGCTGTACCGGTACGTGTACGTGAGGCCGAAGGCCGTGCTGCGCGTGTGGACGCGGAGCCTCGGGGGCTGCAAAGGGTGTCCCTGGCCCAACCCCAGATCCGGGCGTTGCAATCTGTTCACAGCCTGCGTTCTCGCCCAGTTTCGGGTCCCGGGACCCTCACACATCGATCCGGCTCGAAAAATGTTGCAGAAGGATCGGGTCTGGGGTTCCAGTCGTGAGGTTCCGCGATGCTGCATTTCTTCGTGACGTCGGATCTCAGGGGATGTCCTTCAGCTTTCTGCTCCGTTTTGGACTCCCTGGGGCCCGTCTGGGCCTCGTGAGGGGTGCTCTGGAGGCTGCCGGGGCCTCCTGGGAGATCTCGGGGGCAAGTTGGGCCAGCGACGCTGCTCGCAGCCCCCGGAATCGCGTACGCGCTCGCGCTCCTCCTGCAGCTCGGCGGGCTCGCGCAGTACGCATGGGCGGCCAACCTGGTCGTCCAGATGTACCCCCGCACGGGCGGTGTGCACCTCGGGCACAGCATCTCTCATGAGGAGAAAAATTACACAGACACAATTACGTAATCGTCCACTCCCAGGAATATATGGGAAAATACGGGGAGTGGTGGGGAAGGCAGAACCCCCCAAACTATGGGAACATATGGGGAATTATTTTATTTGTGTGTATTTACTTGTGTGTCCCAGGGCCCCTTCAATCTCGAAGAAGAAAACGGGCGTACACATAAACTCTCGGGGGCTCTGCGCGGATCTCTTGGAGCGGCGCCAGGGGCCCCTGGCGAGCTCCTCGCGCCAGGGAGAGGGCTTCGGCGCAGATCCAAGAATCAGGAGGGGGAAAAACACTCAGACACAATTCATCGTCGATCCCCCAGAAAATATGGGAAAATATGGGAAGTGGGCGAGGTGACAAAATCCCAGACAATGTGGGGAAATATGGGGATTTTTTATTTGTGTGTATTTATTTGTGTGTCCCAGGGCCCCTTCAAAGAAATCCGTGCGGAGTTCCGAGAGTTTATGGCTATGCAGTTTTTCCCCAGATAGCGTTTCACTGGAGGATTGTCATAGTGGTGCGAGAGGGCCGAGAAGATTCCCACAGAGGCGGTCGGGGAGCCCTACGACGTTTGGTCCACCGTTTCGCCCGATATTTTCTCACGGCTTATTCAATCGGCTCACGCCATTCCGCCGACCCCCAGAAGGATCGCGGAAGTTATCGAAGACGCCTACGGTGAATCATTGCCGCCCCCTGCCTCTTGGGATACGCCTATGTGGCAAAACGTTTAGGCAAAATTTGGCTACGCTATTAGACCATGCGTTGCCCCAGGCGTTGTGAAAGTCCTTCGGGGAACACGTGGGGGAGGGAAGGGTGTAGAGGAGATGGAGGGAAACGGAGGATGAGAAGCCAGATGAGGAGACCTCTTGGGAGCTTCTTGGGTCACTCGTGGGGCCTCCTGGGAGCTTCCTGGGCCTCTTGGAGGCGTCTTGGGGGCCTTTGGGGCCTTTGGGGGCTTTTTGGGGGCCTCTTTGGCCGTCTTAGGGCGTTCTTCGCTTGTCTTACGCTGTCGGAAGCCGTCTGCGGGGGTATCTCTGAACCGACTTGGGGCCCTCTTGGGGTGCTGCAGGGCCGTCCTGGAGGCCATCTCTGGCGTCTTGGAGGCCTCCTGGGCCGCCTTGGGGCCCCTTGGGCCGTCTTGGGGGCCTCTTCGGCCGTCAGGGGGCCATCTTGGAGGCTTCTTGGGCGCACCGGGGGCGATCTTGGGGCTCTCTGGGCCTCGGGAAGCGTGCGCTCGCCTCGATGCCAGCCGGCTACACTTTCGGTCCGGACGGTGTCACGATCCCGGGTAGCGAATGCACTGAGGTGCATACGGCCGTGCGCTTCCTGGGAATCCGTCGGGATGCATGGGAGTGCACGTGTTCACTAGCCGACCTCCTACTCCTCGACCCGCCTCCTCGCCTCCCCGAGGCCCAGATCGGCCCCCAACTCGGCCAAGATCTGTTTGAGCCGCCCCCTAAACCGACCTCCCACTCCCCGACCCGCCTCTTCAGGATGAGGAGGAGGAGGAGGAGGAGGAGGAGGAGGAGGAGGAGGAGGAGGGGGAGGAGGAGGAGGAGGAGGAGGGGGAGGAGGAGGAGGAGGAGGAGGAGGAGGAGGAGGAGGAGGAGGAGGACCTTCCTCCTCCTGCAGGTGCGCACCTCGGGCACAGCGTCGTCTTCGGGGCCTCCGCCTCGCTGGGCTCGGTGGCGGCCCTCTTCGCGCTGGCCGTCCTCGTGGGGAAGTCCACGGAGGAGCAGTTCAACGAGGCGTCGGCGGCGCGCACGCGGAGGGCCGCCCGAGAGGGCAGGGGGCCCCTTCGCCTTCGAAATTCTACAGGGGGGCCCTCCTGGCAGCTCCCAGGGCTCGAGCCAAACGGTGTTCTGGCGATTCCGTGGGCCGTTTTCGCGTTGGTGTCGTCTCGCAGCAGGGGCGGAGCGAAGACAGCACGAAGGAACAGCGAGCACCAAAAGCAAGCGAAAAAGCACCGCTGGGCTCGAGCCCTGGCCGCTCCCGCTGCCCTCGCGAGGAGCCCTCCCGCTGCCTCCCTCGAGGGCCGCCGGCCCCCTCGCCGCCCGAGGCCCAGACCCCCCGACGCCAGGACTCCTCCATGAGGTCTCGACCCAGGAGGAGGGAGGTTCGAGGTCAGGTGCGCGGGCGAGTTCGTCGGCCCTCCTCCTCCTCCTCCTCCTCCTCCTCCTCCTCCCTCCCTCCCTCCTCCTCCTCCCTCCCTCCCTCCCTCCCTCCCTCCCTCCCTCCCTCCTCCCTCCTCCCTCCCTCCCTCCTCCCTCCCCTCCCTCCCCCCCCTCCCTCCCTCCTCCCTCTCCTCCTCCTCCCTCCTCCCTCCTCCTCCTCCTCCTCCTTCTCCTCCTCCTCCTCCTCATCCTCCTCCTCCACGAGGATTCTTCCACGAGATCTCGACCCCAGAGGTCTCGACCCCAGAGGTCTCGACCCACTCCCCAGGATCGATCTGCGATTCCCGCTCAGGCTTGCCCTAAGGGGTTCTTGCAGTCAGCCCGCAGAGCAAGGATGGGCAGCCTTCCCAATGCTACCCTCGCATCCTCGCCTCCTCGGTCTAGCCTTGGCCACCTTCGTTGGCCGCGCCCCGCTCGAGACGCCTCGAAATGGGCGTCCAAGGCCCTTGCATCCTTATCGCGCGTCCTTACTCTACGGGTTGACTGTACTGGGTAAAGGGTTGGTGCCTCGGAGTCTGACTGTGCCCGTTCCTCGGGGGGTCCTCGGAGGGCCCTCGGGCTGCTCGGGGTCCCCTCCCCCGGCGCCTCCTCTTGTCACGTTGCCCGTTTCCTCGGGCTCCTCGGGTTCCTCGGATTCCCCGGCTTCCTCGGGTTCCCCGGGTTCCCTGGGTTCCTCGGGTTCCCCCGGGCTCCTCGGGTTCATTTCCCAAGTAGGCTTGTCTGAGGCCACGCCAAGCAATGCCAACCCATGCCAAGCAACGCCAAGGAATGCCAAACAATGCGAATCAGTGCCAAGCAGTGTCAAGCAATGCCAAGCAATGCCAACCCATGCCAAGCAACGCCAAGAAATGCCAAACAATGCGAAGCAGTGCCAAGCAATGCCAAGCAATGCTCAGCAATGCCAACCCAATGCCAACCCAATGCCAACCCACTGCCAACCCACTGCCAAGCAATGCCAAGCAATGCCAAGCAATGCTAAGTAAGACAATGCCAGGCAATCCCAAACAATGCCAAGTTTGCCTAAGGCAGTGCCAAGCAATGCCAACCCAATGCCAAGCAATGCCAACCCAATGCCAACCCGCCAGCCCAATGCCAACCCACTGTCAAGCAATGCCAAGCAATGCCAAGCAATGCCAAGCAATGTCAAGCAATGTCAAGCATTGCCAACCCATGCCCGGCCTCGGGGCCCGGCGAGGGCTCCGAGAGTCCGCAAACGCTCAAACATGTCCCGTCGTGTTGTGTGTCACGACGCGGCGGGGTCGGGATGAGCAGCACCCTCGCGTGCGCCGCCAACGAGGCCGTCTCCGAGCAGAAGAAGCTGATCCGCGACGACCCCGAGCTGTACGGCTCCGCCGGCGGCACCGCGACGGGTGCCCCCGCCGAGGCCGCCGCCTACGAGGGCGGAGCCTTCCACGCGGAGAACGCCTTCGGAGCGGTCGCCCAAGAGGGCGCCTACGGCGGCGGCGCCTGCGGCGGCGGCTACGCCTACGGCGGCGGCGGCGCCTACGGTGGCGGCACCGCGTACGGCGCCGCGGGCGCCTCGTACGGGGGCGCGGGCGCCTCGTACGGCGCCGCGGGCGCCTCCTACGTCGGCGGTGCCTGCGGCGGCGTGGGCGCCTACGGCGGCGCGGGCGCCTACGGCGGCGCCAGCGCCTACGGCGGCGGCGGCCAGGGCGCTTGCGCGCCGCACGACGACTTCGGCATCCAGCCCAGCTACGCTCCAGGGCAGCCGACTGGCTGGGCGGGTCAGACCGCGGGCGCCTGAGGGCCCTTCGGGGCGGGCAGGGGTCGTCCGAGGCCGCTCCGCGGACGAGGGTGCGCAGAAAAATGTTATGAGTATCAGCATACCGCGTGGATTTCTTGGGCCAGCGCTTGGGACCCCCCGGCGGCGCATCCGCGCGCAACAGAGGGGGTCCAGCGCAGATCCAAGAAGTTTGCTCGGACCTCCGACAGTTTGTGCTATTTCTTGTTCCTCGAGTTTAGGTCAAGGGGGGGGGCAAGGAGCGAACCCAGCCCGAGTGGGAAGGCTTCGGGCTGCGCAGAGACAGCCCTCCCCAGCGAGCCACGGCCGGCCTCAATGGGCACCCCGAGTACTCTGGGGCGGTCTCAACACCCTTGGCGCCGCCTCTGGCGGCGCCCCTGGGGCGCTCCGCGTTGGGGTCTTGAGACCGCCCCGGAAGAATGGGGGGGGGGGCCTGTTTAAGTCAGCCAGGACCACCCCGGGGCTGTGCGCAGCCCGACGCCTCACCAGCCCGAGGCTGGCATCTCTCAGGAGGGGAAAAAGCACACAGACGCAATTATTCGTCGATTCCCAGAAAATATGCGAACATATGGGAAGTGGGGGGGAAGACAGAAACCCAGAAAATATAGGAAAATATGGGGAATCTTTTTACTTGTGTCTATTTGTTTGTGTGTCCCAGGGCCCCTTCAATCTCCCTTCTCCAGCCTCTGAGACTACCCCACTTCTGGCCCCGCCCCGCCCTCCCGCGCCCCCCCCCAGCGTGGGGCCGGGGGAGACAACGCCGGGCGAGGTCCGCTCGAAGTCGGTCCCCGGAAATCGTCTTCGTCGTCGTCGTCGTCGTCGTCGTCGTCGTCGTCGTCGTCGTCGTCGTCGTCGTCGTGGTCGTCGTGGTCGTCGTGGTCGTCCACACCGTGCGCGCGGTGCTCGCTCTCCCCGGCCTCGCGCGCGCGGGCGGGGCGAGGGCCGGCCCTCTCGCGGACGCCGGGGAAGGGCCCGCCCCTCGCGCCGATCGGCCAGATGCCACGCCGACTCCGCCCGGCTCGGTCCCCTCCTCCTCCCTCCTCCCTCCTCCCTCCTCCCTCCTCCCTCCCTCCTCCCTCCTCCCTCCTCCTCCTCCCTCCTCCTCTCTCTCCTCCTCCCTCCTCCTCCTCCTCTCCTCCTCCTCCTCCTCCTCCTCCTCCTCCTCCTCCTCCTCCTCCTCCTCCCTCCCTCCTCTCACTCCTTTAGGAGGACACGCCCGACCCAAACCAAACCTGAGTCCCGCCCTCCCCGGCGCCCTGCGTGCGTCGCCCTGCTCCGACGGCCCGGTGCGGCCCGGTGCCTGCGCTGCGCTGTCGTGCACCCTGGCTCGGCCGATCCGCTTCGGCTTCGCCTCCGTGCCGCGGCAGCCCGATCCGACGCACGCTCCGACTCGATCCGACCTCCCGATGTGTGCGATCCGCTCCGCGGGTGCCCGCCACGCTGGCGACGCACTCATCAAAGTGCACGCTCGCGAGGACGGCAGGCCTTTTCGGCGGCCGACGCGCGGACGACGCACGGGCGACGAATGCGCGACGCACCCCTTGTCGCGGAGGGGGGGTCAGCACGCTGGTCGCACTACTCCATCCCGATGCGACGTGACCGGCCCTGCTCGAGCGGCAGCGCGCGGGTGAATCAGAGGGGCTCCATGTATGCACCACGTCGCCTGGTCGGCCAGGGAGCCGAGGAGTTCGGCGGATGAGCTAGGTGTACAGACGCTCCAGCGTCCCAGAGCTTGGGCAGCTGGGGCGCCTGCGCACCGAGCTCATAGGCCGACCAAGCGACGTGTTGTATACACATCGGGTTCGTCCCCAGGCTTGCACAGCTGGCACAAGGGTCAGGAGCCACCCTAACCTTGGAGGGGTAGCGTCGTATTTTTCGCGTCTGAGCTCCCCACCTTGCAGTGCTCTTCGTCTGAGGTGTCCGCGTGGCCCGTGGGCCTTCGGCGCGTACGCTCGCGCTCTTGACCTGCGTTCTCGTGGCCGCGTCCCGGCAGTGCGGCAGCCCCGCGCCGCGTGGACGCGCTGGCGCCCTTAGCGCGGGCGCTCGAGGCCGAACGCCGCCGGTGTCCCAGAACCGGGGGGGACCGCACTGGCGCAAGGCTGAACGATCCGTGCGGTGCCAAAAGAAACGCTGACGCCCGCGGCGTCACGCCGCGGACCTGCTGGAGGAGGAGGAGGAGGAGGGAGGAGGAGGAGGAGGAGGAGGAGGAGGAGGAGGAGGAGGAGGAGGAGGAGGAGGAGGAGGAGGAGGAGGAGGAGGAGGCCTCCTGGAGGCCTCGGAACCCTTCCGGGGAGCCGCCTGCTCTCGTGATGTGCGCCCACCTCGCGCCCCCTCCCCCCTTGTGGGCAAACCGCTGGCTGCTCTGTCCATCCATGCGCGCGGCTGCGCCCGCGAGCCCGGGCCAGCAAGACGGCGCCTGCCCCTGGAGCCGGTCCTTCGCCCCAGGCATCCGTTTTTTTTTTTTTTTTTTTTTTTTTTTTTTTTTGTTTTTCTCCCCCGATGCGCCCCGCCCAGAAGTCCCGACTCCTTCCCCAGGGCCAGTTTTTCACCCCGTGCCGTTTTTGACGGTCCCGGGGCCCCGCGAAGGTCCCCTCCCCGGGAGCCCGGGAACGGCGCAAACCGTACCATTTTTTTTTTTTTTTTTGTTTTTGGCTCCCCCGGCGCGAGCATATCTGGGGCCCTCCCAGACGAGCCCCCTGATGTGTAGGCCAGAGCGCCTCAGATCTCCTGTGCCGCTCCATCGGAGCGGCTGCGCGGGCACCCGCGCGCAGGCTGCCCCCCTCCAGGGCGCGCGTGCGCGCCCCCCCTTCTCCGCGGCGTGCCGCGCTGGCGGCCTGCGGAAACGCCCCAAGCGTCCTCCAACGCCATCGTCTTGCTGTTCATTGCTGTGCCGATCGGCGCGGGCCCTCGCACTCCCCCCCCCCTGGAGTAGACCTTGGCTGTTCTGGGCGCCCGTTTCAGGCAGGCGGGGTCGTCCCCCAGAGGGCGCAGTGCTGCAATCAGTCGTGCTGAGCAGAGGTCCGGAGCCAGAGACCCCCTCCCCTCCCCCCCCCTGCCGCCCAATGTCGACATGCCGAGCACGAAAACGCTCACAACATGAGTTTTCCGTCCGCAGCCCCAGAGCTTCCGACAAGTTCCCACGGGTAGTTTTTTGGGCCTGGATCCAGTTCTTGATGGTCCCGCGGCCCAAGAGCGGGTCCCAGAGGTTGAGATGGGGGCGTCTCGTCCTTGTTTACCTCGGAGGGCCTCCTGCTGGGACGCCTTTCGGGGATGTTTGGCCCTCCCGCGGGCTTCAGTTTTGGGCCGCCTTGGTGGCATCTGGGGATCTTTGTTGGGCTGTCCAAAAGGCATGACGAACCCTTTTTCTACCGTCTTGGAGGCCTGCTGGTTGCCGCTTGGGATGTCAGGGGAGTTTCTTGGGGTCCGTCTTGGGGGCCTGTTGGGAACACGGGGCAGCTGGTGGCGGAACGTGATGGTGCTTTAGGCCCCCCTTGGAGGCGACAGCGGGCCCGGAGCAGTTTGTGGTGTGGTTTCTGCACGTTCGCACCCTCGGTCTTCAGATGCGAAGGGGGAGGCCTTGGAGAGGCCAGCGGTCTCCGCCGAGGTTGAGACCGTGGGGAGGGTTTACGGGGAGGGGTAACCCCATTTCCTCCTGCTCCTCCTCCTCCTCTTCCTCCTCCTCCTCCTCCTCTTGCTCCTCTTTCTCCTCTTGCTCCTCTTGCTCCTCCTCCTCCTCCTCCTCCTTCTCCTCCTCCTCCTCCTCCTCACCCCCCCCCCTCCTCCTCCTCCTCCTCCTCCTCCTCCTCCTCCTCCTCCTCCTCCTCCTCCTCCTCCTCCTCCTCCTCCTCCTCCTCCTCCAGGACAGCGCCTACCGTTCAAGGTGGAACGATCCGCGCGGCGGCAGAGGCCACTGCCGAGGACGTCACGCCGCGGACCTGGCGCACTCCTGGGCCACCAGCCGTCGAGAAGGCCGGCGGCGTCTTGGGTCCAGCGAGAGCCTCCAGCAGTAGCGGATCCATCGTCGCATCGGTGCCGAGCGTATCCCCCCCCCTCCTCCTCCTCCTCCTCCTCCTCCTCCTCCTCCTCCTCCTCCTCATTTTCCGCGCGAGGAACAGAGCAGTGCCACCAGCCCTCCCCGCCCTTGCCCTCCCCCTCTCGCCCTCGCACTCCAACCGTGCTCCCGGCCCCAGCTCCCCGCCCCCCTGGTGCCCTGTGGGGTGGTCCTGGGGCACCTTTCGCCGCCTTGGCGGCCTCGAGGTCGCGGCCTTGGTGGTCCTGTGGGGTGGTCCTGAGGCCCTCTTGGAGGTCGTGGTCGAGGTCGTGGTTGCGGTCGTCGTCGTCGCCGTCGTCGTCGTCGTCGTCGTCGTCGTCGTCGTCGTCGTCGTCGTCGTCATCGTCGTCGTCGTCGCCGTCCGTCGTCGTTTGTCGTCGTCGTCCTCGTTGTCGTCGTTTTCGTCGTTGTCGTCGTCGTCGTCGTCGTCGTCGTCCGTCGTCCATCGTCCGTCGTCCATCGTCCGTCGTCCGTCGTCCTTCGTCCGTTTCCGTCGTCCGTCGTCCGTTGTCCGTCGTCGTCCGTCGTCGTCGTCGTTGTCGTCGTCGTCGTCCGTCGTCGTCGTCGTCGTCGTCGTCGTCGTCGTCGTCGTCGTCGTCGTCGTCCGTCGTCCTTTTTTCATCGTCGTCGTCGTCGTCCGACGTCGTCTTTGTCGTCGTCCGTCGTCCGTCGTCCGTTGCCGTCGTCCGTTTTCGTCGTCCGTCGTCCGTTGTCGTCGCCGTCGTCGTCGTCGTCCTCCTCCTCGTCCTCATCGTCCGTCGCCGTCGTCATCGTGGTCGTTGTCCGTCGTCGTCGTCGTCGTCGCCGTCGTCGTCGTCGTAGTCGTAGTCGTCGTCGTCGTCGTCGTCGTCGTCGTCGTCGTCGTCGTCGTCGTCGTCGTCATCGTCGTCGTCGTCGTCGTCGTAATCGTCGTCGTCCTCGTCTTTTTGCGTCATCGTCGTCGTCCGTCGTCCGCCGTCGTCGTCGTCGTCGTCGTCCTCGTCGTCGTCGTCGTCCATCGTCCGTCGTTCGT